AGTCAAAGAAGGAAAAAAAATGTGTGGTTGGCCTAGCAGGAGAGTGAACAAAGGCAAGGGGCAGAAGTAGCCATATGAAGCAAGGACTTGTTTTTATCCATCTGTAGAGTAGGTAATTCCTCTTGGCATTATATAAATATAAATAATTAATAATAATGTGAGCTAGAGTGGAAATAAGTGAGGCCTTGTAGGCCAGTAGGGTTATTTTAAATTAATAGTTCATGGATGAGATTCAAAGCAAAGAGGTGGGAGGATGACTTTCATGTACACACTCTTCTTCTGTATGCTACAGAGATGAAAGTAGCATCATCTAGACACAGCCATAAGGAGGAGAGTGAATGAGAGGAAGGAACAGTAATGTGAACATAGCTACTTTTATGGATGGCAGATGCAGAAAATGACCTTGAAATTACTTTTTAAAGATAGTTTACTTCTAAGCGCATTGTTACGGTTAATTCTGCTTATGCAAATATTGTGAACAAGTGCTGCTAAAGCTTCACTTTCCTTCCAGATTTATTATTATGCAGATGCACAGACAATCCACACTGCTTATCCAGATGGCCTGGAGGTGCTGCAGTTCCCTAATAATCAGATAGGTATGCAAGAACTCATAAGCGTGAACAGTATGTGCAGATTTATTTCTATTATGAAAGTGTGGTCTGCGTTCTGACTCCAACAGATTAAGTATTTTCTTGCGATTTCATATTGTCTTTGCATTTCATTTCCAGTATATTCCATCACTTCACTGCTCAGTTTCCTCCTACAAAGCAAATATAATAATGGAATGTAAATGTAGCTCTTCTAATTTTGATTATCTGATTATGTGATTCTTTAATTTCTTTAGCCATACTGTGCATATAATTTCCATCCTCACTGCAATGTCTAAAGAAAAATCCTGTCCTAGCTCTATGTAAAGAGACATGAATAAATACTAGGTAGACTTTTTACATCTTCTTTTCCACAGAAAAACATTATCCTGATGGCACACAAGAAATTGTGTTCCCAGATCACACAGTGAAGTGCCTCTATAGTGACGGCCTGAAGGAAACCTTTTTCCCAGATGGCACAGTAGTAAAAGTAGAAAAGTAAGTCTTGTACAAATGAAAGGATCTAGGCATTGGACACAGGTACAATGATATTGACATTTAGAACTGTGGCTGGATTTTGCATAGCTAGGAAATTTCCAGATGAAGGGAGAAAGAATTTTGAAGACAGCAAGAGTTTTGCTACAGTGTAGCACTGAAAACTGTTCGTTTCCACCTTGAGTGATAGGTGACCATTGATCCCTGGCAAAATAACTGTGAAATATTCCTCATTTGGTTCCTTGTAACTTTACACTGGCCAGAGTTGCTGGAACATCACCAGTTGTCTGTGTTAAAAATGTGGGTGCTAAAGGACTCAGGATGAGGGCTCCCGAGCTGTACTCCTACCTGTTTGGCTCCCTTTCTAATCTTAGGCAAAGCATTTCATGTATTTTCTCTCTATTCCTCCATGCAAAATGAGAAATACAACAACAGGAATCTCTTATTCATGTCTCTTCTGGGCTTAGAAAGGTTCCTGTTGTTAAAATACATTTTCTGCCTGTAAAAAGCCTTGAGATCTCTGCATGAGGTCATGTAAAAGACAGATCTCCCTTGGCTATTATACTATGTATTGAAATCTTTTTGTAAGATAAAATCTCTAATGCCATTCTGTGTTAATTCTGACATTATTCTCCACTTTCATTGAGTCACATTAGACAGCTCAGCGAGACAGGTTAATAACAGACAATGCCTTCTCATTACTTCATTCATTGTCACTTCTTTCAGGAATGGAGATAAAATAGTGATATTCCGTAACGGCCAGAAGGAGATTCACACTGCACAGTTCAAGAGACGGGAGTACCCAGATGGCACTGTGAAAACTGTGTACTGCAACGGCAGACGGGAAACCAAGTACTCCACTGGACGAGTTCAAATCAAAGATGAGGAGGGTAATCTCATCCTAGATAAGAAGTAATTCCTCCCCACAAAGGGCTGCACTGTACGTATGTAGCTCAACCCATTTTCTTGGCAGGTCAGAACTGTTAGGAAGATTTAACTTGTGAAAAGGACTGGATGGATCCATAAGGCTGAAAATTACTGTGGCTGAGTGACTGGCTTAGATTGGAATAACCTTATCTGAATGTAATGTCTCTTGAGTGAGACCTGAATGAGACGCGGTCATGCGCTCTTTGTATATGCAGCATTAAAATAAATGCCGACAGTACTGCTCATTGAAGTCTTTGTTTCATGATACTGATCACACTTTCCCTTATTTTTCTGCAATTTGGTTTTGAAAGTGACTACAATTATGGACCATGGCATAAGAGACTCAAATATACAGTTCAGTGTTGTCTTACGCTGACTAGAGCAGATTGCTCGAAGCCCAATCCAGCCTGGCCTTGAACACTTCCAGGGAAGTGAATTTTTTGAAATTACTGAAACATTTCTCCTGGAGAGCTCAGTTCATTACCTGCCTGTTGACTGAGATGTCCAATTATCTTCTTATGCCTTCCAAATTCCTGTAACACCAAATACATCTTCATAGCATGCTGCTTTAGCCTTTTCTCACCCCTAAGCATAAAATAATTGCAACATTACAGAATTGCTCTTTCTTCTGTTTAGTTTTCAGGGACTCAGACTATTAAAAAATCACCATTCAAATTACACAGTATTTTTGAAAGAAAGAGCAAGAAGCATTGCTGATGTTGATCATACACATACTTCAATTTATCAGCTTAATTATGATGCTGTGAACATCCATGCAGTTTGATATTGGCTAGTGTAATGAGAAAATTGCATTGTTTCCTCTTTACTCCTGCGTAACTCTCCTTTTCAGCTTTTCCCTGCTGAAATAGCGTATTTTATTTGTTTTGTAAAAGGAAACTCTAACCAAAATAAATCCAAGATATCATTCTTTTCCATGTGTTTCACTAAGAATTTCAGTTTATGCTTCCTTACACTGAACAAAACAAACGTATGTTTGATTTTTTTTCTCAATTAGGCATCATAAAAAAGTGAATGGGGGTAATGTTTTCAGTTTAGCTGGGAAACTAAATATGATACCAATGTTTTATAAAGGATCATTGTTTTTATTCCCACTAATTCCTTTAACAAAAGGTCCCTGTTCTCCAGTTAAAATGCTGGCATTCTCTTTGTTTCTGTAATAATTCAGAAAACAGTCTTTGTTTGCAGCCTTTAGCCCTAAATCGCTATTTACTATTCAATAAATTGTGTGTCACAGAATCACAGAACCCTGTAGATATGTGATCCTTGTAATTGTAAATCAAATAAGGAACAATTTTGTTACTGCGCTCCTTACTCCTTGCTTCAGTCTACTCACAGAAGGCATTTTGACTGTGGAATAATTTGGCCTGTGGTGCTGCAAGTGTGTAACACATGGGGAATATGTGCAAACCAGTCTCTAAAACTGTACATGCAACAATGCATATGTGCAAACACCTTGCTGACATATGTATTCACTGTGCTGATATGTACATTCACCTTGTTAGCACCAGCTTTCAGGGTGGTTGTAATGATATATAAGCATGGGCCTGGTTCCACTTTCTGGCAAACCCATGGCAAACTTATTGGTGAAATCAAGGGTGAAACTACTGAAGGTTTCACAGCACTTTTGCCAACCCATGTCTGACCATCGTTCTAGCAGGGCATGCTTTTCAGGTGCTATTTATATTTTATAATATAAATAGCAAAGGAATTACTGAAATAAGGGGCACACATTGGGTTTGAAAAGGAGGAGGCAGAAAAGCACCTACCTGAATGACAATCTCTGTCAATCTGAGTCCTTCACAGACAAGTTATGACACATACCACTTTGTTTTTCACAGACTATTCTCATGTTCCCTCTCCTCCACCTTCCACTCACATTAGTTAAGCAGAAGCATTGGTTCTACCATCAAGGGTTTATAGTTGTAGGAATACGAATAACCCAAATCAAGTGTGACTGTATATTGTGCTTTAACTGTAGCAACACACATACCTATTTCACTATGCCTTTTGTCCTAGAGGATTTATAATGAACAAATTTTTGTGAATCCTACAGGGAGATGAAACACATTTGGGAAACCCCACTTCTTGCTTTTCCACAGGTTTTTCTGGCATTAGCAAAAATATGCTACAGCCAGTATTTGGCCTCAATTTTTATTTAAATTTAGAATAGGATGTGACTTCTGAACAGAGCTACTTCCATTCAGACAGCCAGGGGCATAGGCCATGGGTCTTTATCAGAGAGGAAATATGTGCATGTGTTAACTTGTAGTTGCAGAAGTCAAGTGTAGGTAGCCAGCTGCTGAGCTGGGCAGGTTTGGATGGAGAATGCCTAGCCTCCTGGGATTTGTTTATTTTTAGCTTCAACTTTTACTTGGGAGGTTATTTTTGCAATGGTATTCTTTTCCTGCATCTGGGAAATCAATGTTTTACTTGAAAGTGCCCTGGCAGTTTTCTTGGTCAGGACAGCTACCTTAAGAATTGATCCTCTCACAGCATGCAGGGCAGATTGTAGAAAAGAAGCAGAAATACATTTAGCCCCTCTTTCACAAGTGAGTAAGCCAGGCATGCTTACCAGCTGTGCTCTGGGGCACACACCTTCTGCCAGCCTTTGTTCCAGCTACTGGGTTTTGCCTGAAAATGTCAATCTGCTTGGAGTTCAGCAGTTCAGCAATGCTTGAAAAAGTTTTTGTGAAAAGAAATCGTGAAAAAGTTTTCTTCTCATGGTGTCATCAATGGAGCAGCTGAAAAACAATGCTGGATGTAGCTGATTTCTAAAAGTTGTGGCTTGAATTTGTCAAAAACCAGGGTGTCAAAGCCAAAGAGCTCAAAGCAATTGGAAATCCACTGGTAAGGGGTTCACAGCAAGCAGGGTAAGAAATCACTGTGTTATTGATCATCTGCCAGAGGACCATGTCATCAACCCCAAATGTTCAAAGGTAAGAATGACATTCATTGAACATCCATTTGCAGTCACAGATAATCCCTTCTTTGTATTTTTAATATGAAACTCTGTATTTGTTGATGCTGGTGTTTTTGGGAATAGACCTTGTCCAGAGAACCGAAGTCAAACTTTTCAGCAGCAAAACCTTACCAGAATTTCTTCATAACTATAAATGGTGAGGAGGCAAAAACTGATCACACATACATAAAGGTGCAGTTCCAATTTATACCCTGAAGTGAGCAAGGAGTTGCTAATGTACTTCTGCACAATAACTGTACAGTCATATATTAAGTTTATAATGTCTTGGAAAATGAGTATGCCCCTTCCACAGGAGAGATCCACAGGCTTGCAAATCCAATAGCTATGTTCTTCTGCCTACTTGTCTCTCCTTGATGTATTCTGCTCTAAATTTAACATAGTCATTAGGTATGATGGAAGCCACAGGACTAAATTCATACAGAACTTATCCTTATACTTCTTTCACACATTTTAGATGCTTTCCCAGGCAGTCTGTTCTGGTGATCTGAAGAGCTTCTGGGCACTGTTTAAATCTCTGCCATGGTTTAATGCTGTGATGGTCTGTCATGTGGAAAGGAGAGTTCCAGCAGTACAGGTTCCACTCTGAGTCATCTTTCTTTTTTTTTTTTTTTGTCAAATTGAGTTCAGCCACACTCCAGTAAAGTCTCACTGACTATTGCAGAGACATTCTCATGGAGACAGAACACCAATACCTTCAAATATCTCTTGTATCATAGTCACATGCTATCATTTCCATCTCTACTTTAAGACCCCTTCCAAGCCAAGCCATTTAATGATTGTATGAGTTTTTCCTATTTGCTTCTGGGGTTTTGTTTGTTTGTTATTTTTTGGTTTGGGTTTGTTTTTTTTTTTTACAACTCTCTTTAGTCCAGTGGCTGTAACTTTGCTTAGTCTAACTTCCTTTGTACTGCTGCATTACTGACACGTTATGCTAACTTAGTATGTTGCCCTGATCTGAGCAAACTCTCTTGGTTAAGATTAGAAAGCCCAATGCAAAACCAACAGTAGGAAAATGCCTGTTGATTCCAGTGCTCTTTTCCTCCTCTCACATGATGCTTTTGACTCACTGATAATCTTCTATTCCTCCAGTAAGCTCCTCCTCAGTTCCTGAAAAGCAGGGCACGTTCTTGTCTCATCACTTTCCTCTCAAGAAAATAATGTTCCATAGAAATGTATGTAGATTCTGAAAGAAATACTATTTCCTACTGTCAATGTTGGCAGCAGATAATGGACCACATGTATTTTTATAAATAAAAAATGTATTTTGAGTTATACTGAGCATAGAAATTCTCACAGCAATATAGACAGCTCATCCTATCCATCTATTTCAATATATACAAGACTCAAACTGAAGACCTATCTTACTGGCTGGTGGCATAGAGCAAAAAAAGTCCCATGGACCTGTACAATTGAAAGCATTGCTGTTTCTCTCAGTTCTATTTTCCAAGAAAACTACAGAGCTAAAACCCTGCAGTCTAATTGTCCCTGAGGATTAGACTTTGTGTTTGGGGCCAGGTGTCTTAGATGAGAGAAGAGTGTTTGAGCTGAGGACCATTCTCACAAAGCATTAACATACCAACCTCCACTTTCTCTCAAAAAGTAGCAAGTAAAAAAATATACAAAATGGATGGTCCATATGCTAGACAAGACTCCTTCACATCCTATTATTGTAGTGACTCTCTTGTTTTTTCTTTTCAGATTGAGTTTTAGACTTCAGAATAAGTAGTCTCTGCCTTCCAAACAACTACAGAAATCAAGGGAAAAAGTCACACCTGGAAGTATGCAATGTAGTGTCAGCTGAGTTAGTGAGGGACACTTTTCTGTGGAAAAATTACGATTTGTTGAAATTGAAAGCTTTTTTCCAGAGAACAAAATAATCTTCTGTCAGATTTTTATTTACTTTGAATTTTCTTGTTTTGAAATTGTCAGAATATACTAGTTTCATTTTTGAAGAGACAATGGTTCAGAAAGACATCTTCTAAATACCAATTTAATTTTAAAACTAGAAGCCCAAATGTGAAATGACATGCTTTACCATTAGCAAAATATAAACTAACATAATTGAAAAGTTTTGCAAATCACAAAACAGTTCAGGATTCCCATTACTTACTTGAATGTTAAAAAAAAAAAATATTACAGGATGAAAAGCCATGTTTCTCTCTCCGCTCTGACATTTGTGGATCCCTCATGAGATGTACTTATGTTCTGGCTGTCCAATGCATTCTGCTGCTGACAGGCTCTGAGGGGTAACCACAGAGCACTCACAGAGCCCTTCTACAAGCAGCACTCTGAAGTTTGTAATAAGTGTGTTACAATGCAGACAGCAAGCCCAGGAAAGTTTCAACTGGGGCTTAATGGGAGGACGGTTTTAGCGAACAGGCCAGGAAGTATTTCTGGAAGGCTGGGAAGCAGGGCAGTGGGGTTAGGAGTATAAGACTACTTTACCGTAGGACTGTAGTATGTGGGTTAAAAATAGCCCTGGATCATCTTATATCCTGTAGTGAGGGAATTCTTGCTTAAAAACAAAAGGTTTTTAAGCAAGCTTTGGTCCAAGGTGTGAGGTATAAGGCTCCTATTGGAAAGGGCCTTTAGGCATCAGTAATGGCTGAGACTGTGGCCAAAATTTGAATTTCTGTATATAATGACTTTCCATATTGCAAAGTAACATGTAATTCTATATTCCAATAGTAATATGTATATTAACATATTTAGTGATGTCTTACAGTCAGACTTGCAGTACCCTTCCATCTCAGATTTAAGCTAGTGTTGGAAGGGAGGGAGCAAGATTTAAATTGCACAGAGACAGAATGCAGTTGAATTTTCCTTAGAGGGACTTTCCTTGGGTGAGGGGTTTATAGGGAACAGGAGAGAAACATGGGAAGTAGTTACTGAAGTGTGATCTTGGTGTAATAGGACTTCCATAGGAGTAATCTTGCTGTGTCTCTTGTGGTGAGTCATTCTCTTCAGCCCCAGAAAGTTGGGAGCTTGCTGCTGAGATTGCACACAAATCTAAAGTGGTGGTCCCAGGAAATGATTGTTATCTTTGCTGTTATCTAGGCCTGTTGAACATGAAAACCATGTGTGGTAAACTGTGCCATCACAGTCTTCATTAGGTAATCATAAATTAAGCTGTTAGCAATGTCTGAACAATGAAGCTTTCTTTGGTGGTTTGTTCATATCATCTTCTATTAATGAACATCTGGCACTCAGGGAATGAAATTAAACCTCTGGCATTCAGGGAATGCCAGTTTACAGGAAATTATCTAACCAGACCTAGATATAACAATATGTCTGCTTCAAATTCCCTGATAATTAAGAGCAAAAAAAGAGAAAACACTTTAACTAACAAAGAACACCTATCTGATTTTAAGAAAGTCATATCACATATAAGTAGAAGCTCTCGAAGTATAATTATAAAACAGTAACTCTGGGATTAGGCACTTGTCTAAATTAATGCAGCACCTAGAAGCAGAGACCTTACAATCATAGAATCAGAATGATTCTATGAAGAGACCCTAAAAATCATCTCGTTCCAATCCCCCTGCCATGGGCACGGACACTCCCACTAGCCCAGGTTGCTCAGTGCCCCATCTAGTCTGGCCTTGGCCCTTTGGAGAGCAGGATGCTTTTGTCTGTGACACTAAGTAACACAGAGATGGGAGCCTATCTGGTGAAACACGGAGTAGAGAAGGGTGAGCCTATCTGCACCCTGCTGCTAATTAAGGTCTCAGCACAGACAGACCCATGCTGTGCTCTGCCTGCTAGACTGAAACAGGGCTTGTAGAGTCTTCCTTGGCCATGAAAGGGCAGAGGCCTCATGTCACAGAAACTTCAACCATCCTTTTTTAACTTGCATTTCAATTAAGAGGTATTCTTAGCTTAACTTCTGCCAAAGATTTTTTTATGTTTTATTTTTATATTTTTTTATATATACTATGCAGCAAAATCCCTATTGCCTTTACAGTAAACAAAACCGTACAAATTTTGTAACTGTGTACTGTCCATGCTAAATGACAGTTTTCATTTAGGTCATGTCCAAGACTAATGGGCACCTTTATACTCATCTTGTCCCAGGAATAAGCATGTTCATTGCATTGCCACATGTAGCTGTGGCTTTCATTGCCAAGGCAACAGAGTTTTTCCTCGCGCTCCCTGTGCAATGGAAGAGTTGTTTTTCCTCTTCTATTACAATTTGGGAAATGGCTACAGTGAAGTCCTGTGACAAAATCAAGAGTGAAAAAATCTCCCAAAACCACAGGCTACAGTGTTCTATCTCCTGTGCCGATTCAATGTCAGTGATACTGAGATCCTCTCCAAGGTCAGAGCACCTTTTCTGCTCCTTGGTAGCTCCTTATGGTTTCAGTTGGAATATGTAGTGTAAGGAGCTGTTTGTTCATATGGTATTGGTGAATTTTACAGACAAATCCTGGGCACACAGAGAACCAAACAATTAAGGAGGTGTGCTGTGTTGACCCTGGCCACCAATGAAGCATCCTCCAAGTTGTTCACTCACTTCCCCCACTAACAGGATAAAGTAGAGAATCAGAAGCGCAAAAGTGATAGAACTCCTGCTTTGAGAGACAGGCAATTTAAAAGGAGAAGAAAACTGTGTGTGCAAGCAGAACAAAACAGGAATTCATGCACTACTTCCCTTTGGCAGACAGGTGTCCAGCCACTTCCTGGAAAACAGGACTTCAGTGGGAATAGTGATTGCTTGGGAAGTCAAAAGCCATAACCAAGAATGTCCTCACTTCCTCCTCATTTGCCCTGAGCTTTTACTGCTGCTCTGCAAACACTACTCAGCAACAACCAAAACACACGTGTGTTATCAACACTCTTTTAGTTACTAAAATCCAAAACACAGCACCATATGGACTGCTGTGAAGAAAATTAACTCCAACCCAGACAGACCCAGTGCAGGAGTAAAGAGAGAAACTTATCAAGCTGTATAGTCTCTCTAAGGGATGGATTGTCTTTTTGTTCTGAAGTTGTAGAGCATCTCATGTAGCAGGATCCTGACTTCTGTGCTGGGTTATTACAAATAAAAAATTAGTACATTCACGCAGATGAGATTTTCACTGATGTTGATCTCAAAAATCTCTTTTTTTGCTTCAGTAGCCTTTAAATATTGCTTTGTAAAAGAAAAAATCAGAGGAGAATTCAGAGATGTGTTGAAATATGATGCTGTGTTTCTGTATGAGATGGAAGCAGTGCAGGGTGAGAATCAGCAGCAGCCTAGAAAATCCATCTGTAAGTGCTGGGCAGCTGGGAGGCTGTCAGGATTCTGCAGCCACCGTAGTTTTGCCATTTGTATTTCCAGCAGAGAGATGAACAGCATGACTTTGAGCTGACAGGGCAAATGCGCAAGAGAAAGGTGGATCTGTGAGGCAGCCCACCTGTCACTTCCTTTTCTGTAGGACATAATGAACTTTACTTCATTGTGTGAAACCTGGAAAAGAAGCTCATCATTTGGAAATCCATGAATCAATGTAAAGTCTGGAGCAGAGTCCAGATGCTTGAGAATAAGAAATACAAGAGATATAGTAAAGTAGCATGAAGTTTACTGCTGTTCAAAAGACCTAACAGTTCAGGGATTTTTTTCCACATAAATTGCATCATTGTTGTCACACCGTATGGTGCCTCATCCTCCTGTTACGGTAATAACTGAGAGGAAGTAGCTTCAAGTGTTAGCTCCATGGCAGGCAGCAACTTAACTAGCCTTGTAGTTTATTTCCAGAGGCAGCACTAATCTTGGAGATGAACAGCATTTGTTTCCAATTCCTTTTTTGCTGTCTGCCTCACACAAAGGATCTGATTGTAGTGTCATTACCAGTAATGATCATGTCTGTACAGTTCTCTCTCATTAAGATACAGGAACACTGCCAAGTAATTGCACTGTAGCACTTTTCTCTTTGTAGTAAAAACCCCAAAATCCAAATCTGGAAAAATATGGATAAAACTAAAGAGAAGTTGAAATGACATGAGGGAAATCCTCATCTAAGTCACTGGTGGATACATGTAGGTCTCAAGGAGTTATTAGAGTGTAGGCCCATCCTCCTTTTCTTTTACCACTCTGTGACTTCCACTGTTACCTGCACCCTTGTCATGGATCGGTTCCCTAAGTAACATGCCCTGGCTGCTCATCTTGAAAACAGCTCTGTCTGGGAAAGATGGATGGTAAAGGGGGGAAGGTCATAATGACAGAAGTATTTGGTCATGTGGAAGGCATCTCTTTTAGGATGAAGTTGCTGTAACTGGTGACAGAAAAATTAGAGACACGAAAACCAAAAGAGAAAGAGGTCTGGGATAGAGGGATGACATGGACAGAAGCACAGCTCCCTCCTGACCCAAGACAAGCTGGTGGACTCAGTGGTCAGTGGATTATGAGGTATGACGTTATGAAGTGTAGATATAGACAGTTTATAAGTTGTTATTTACAGCAGGTGTTAAAGAATGCATCATAATAACAACATAGATCTTTATAAGGACAGATGTGTGTTGTCAGCAATCAGCTGAGCAACACCAGTTGCTCTTATCTTCTTGTTCCAGTTGTGAGTATTTTAGGTTTGATTGTAGAGCTATGGTACAAGGTCTTATCCACAGAAAAAAAAATGAGGACTTAAGGAGTCTTGTTTACATTTATTAAGACTTTATTAATAAAAAAATACAACATTTAGTTAGTCATTTGCATGAAAGGGTGAAGTCAGATAATCTTCCCTTATAAAACTGAGACATTAAAAGAGATTTTAACTTCTAAGACATTTGTATTATATTAAATCTGTATTACATGAAATCTGTTCCATTACCATCTTTCTGGAGGTAGTACATATTGGAATGCCCTTGGAGACACAGGAACTGTCCAGTTTGTTTGCTTTTCCTCCATCACTCTGACCCTGTTGGATTACATGCGTGTTTCCTGGGTGAGTGGTCCTCCATTTTCCTTCTTCGTAGCAGTAGGTGTCCCAGGTGAGCTCTTAGCCTCAAGGCATTCAACTGCTCCATATGTCACCATAGACAACACAAGTACAGACAATAAAATGTAGAGTTTGATGTAAACTTGCAATTTGGTGCTATAACCAAAGGCGATGACAAATCCAAGTGATTCCCAGAGACGGTAATTTGCAAAGGCAGCCTCCTTGTGTTTCTCAAATAAAATGCCATAGAGTCCTGGAAGAAATGAATAAAGGACATGGCTTATGAAGATTAAGCCTGCAACCAAGTATTTTCTGCAAAGGGAATAACTAGATTGCAATGGGGAAGACAGGCACTCCCTCATACATGTCAGAGAAAGGAAAATAGAAGCTTTGTCTTAAAAACTTTTTGTGCCTCTGTGAATTATGATAAGTGAAATAACAGAGCAAATCAGACAAAATAGAGAATATCAGATAAAAGGGAATGAAAACATGAGGAAGGAAGAAAGGATGGGCTCTATTGATATGCCAGGAAGTTTATTTTTCAAAATATCAGCCATGAAAATGAAGGTTCTTGCACTGATGAACAAGTAAGTAAGGAGAAAGAGGAGATGTCCGGAAATGGCTTTTGACATTGTAGGGTCTCCATGTATAACTATTGAGAAGGTCATACCAAGTCCTTGCAGGCTTTCACAGAATAAGCAGTTTTGACTAGGGACAACATGGTCCTCAGGGACCAATTTTCTTCCATACTTCACCAGTTTCAGGAAGAACTTGATTGTACCCTGTATGCACTGTTGACCTATTCTTCGAACTCTTTCACCTGCCTGAGAACATGCAGACTGTGTAAAATGCATGTCCCTAGTTTTCATGAGAACCCAGCCTCAGCGAGCCCCCAGGTGAGGCTCACACATTGTTGCCAGTGGTGGTAATGTCTGGTCTTCATATGTGCCAAGCTGAGAGAAATAAACTTACCCAAAACACTTAGAAAGTTGAGGAAAGTGCTACAACTGGGCTCGAATTTAGTATGCAGGGAAGATTTGCATCTCTGAGATAACCAGGTTTTCAAATTTTCAGCTTCTGGATGGCTTGGCAAATAGGAAATCCTTGATGCATACAGAACCCCTGGGCAGCAACTGGAAAACTTGCTTGACATAGAGACTTAGTTAAACATATCATTCTAATATAGTTGTGTTCACTGGGAAGTTCCCAGTGAGCTCAGTCAGTTCACATCCACAACTGGGAGTCAAGGAGGGATTCCCAGCCTCCAGGTTTGACTAGTGGAGCAGACAGGAAAGGGGAGAGAGCTTGCTTTCCTCTGGGTGCTGAACTAGCATCTGTTGTGACAAAGAAGGGGGCATTTCCTCTGACTCAGCTGTGGTGTTCAGGGAGGGAAGAGAAGAATATCATGAACCTTGACTCTTCTCATCCACTTCTCTAACACCATATCTGTTTGAACTATGTACATTCAGCCAGAGGAGTACAAAGTTCCCTGAAAGTCTGGGTAGACTCAACTATTCCTTCAGTTTTGTTAAACAGGGGGAGACTCCATCTTTATGTACAAACCCACTGAATTCTGACAACTTCAAGAAGACATTTACTGGACTGTTTCAATTTACACACAATGGAAAATCTGGATGAGTGCATCACAAGATGTACTTAGTTCATTAAACTGACTGAGTGGAGCGTAGCATGAATTATATGATAATCCTTCGTAGTTTTGCCTAATAAATGAAAAAGTGCAAGTTGTTCATAAAACTTTCCTGATATGCCCAGTGTTATCTTCTGAAAAGGGATTAGTGAAGAGAGTTTAATATAGGAAGGTTTCTGATGTCATGACAGTTCCGTGTGTTCTTTCATCTGGTACATGTTTTCCCTTGCTATTTTGAAGCCTTCTTTTTCAACCAAACAATGGGAGAATTGAGTGAGGATCTAGTCCAAGGTTCAGCTATAGGAAGGGCTGACTTGGCTGGGAAGTCCTTATTTTCAGGATGCACATGTGGTATTAGCTAGCAGTTACATAGGAGCACAACGGTGGTTTTGCTTCTAACCTAAATATTTGTTCTCATCACAAACACTGTCAAGTGCAGTGTGATGCAAATTGCCTGGCTGAAGCTTCACCGGGACCTGCTGGGCTGGCTTAGTAGAGAGGCTGCTAGATCTACATTTTTACATGGCAATTATCCTGCTTGTTTACCACTGCCCATATTCCTACTCCTTCCCCTGGTAGTAGCAGGCATGCATATATGACAGGACAGTTGGAAATTATTGAAGCCTAGGCTTATAAACTCTTTAGACTCATTCATATTCTTCCTGAAGATGCACATCAGCCTGTAAAGAACTTGATTTTACTGTAGTCTACCTGATAGCTCTGTGCCACACAATTGTTACACCACAAGTGCAATTATTGTCAGTGGGTAAGAACAGCATCTCTGCTCAAGTTAAAAAAGAAAGGTCACTACATGCTCTGAAATGAAGCAGTTTTTGTTGGAAATAAATGAGAGTGTCCACACGTGTTTTTCCTAACAAAAAGATGTTAGGAAGCCTTTATAAGATAAAGTGATTCATCCATCGTGACCCTACATATCCTCTAGGGGGTACTCGAGTATTAGCTACTCACAGCAGCACAAAGTGAGACATCTTCGATTACCACAGAACGCCTTAAGAATGTGGCACAATGCCATTGCATGTATTCACTGATTAATCTACTGAAGCCCTAGCAGCAGTCATGGGAGCTTATCAAAGGAAATACCACAGACCCCAGTCACCAATGCTGTTTTAGAGGTCTTATAGTCTTTGATGCTGGGAATTTCTCATGTGATGCATATCTGAATAAAACTGATGAAGGGGAGAAGACATTTAGTCCCAAGTGGGTACGTCAAATGAAAGATCCTGTTCTGGGATGCAGCATTGTGAGTTAATGTCACTGCACCTCTCTATTAAGGTTTCATGTCATCACTCAGTATTTCACTGTGACAACGTGACAAAGCAAACTTTATAATTTTATATCTGGGAGCTGTGAAACAGTTGAATAAGGTACAGACAAAAAAAAAAAAAAGAAAAAGACATTATTAGAGGAAAAGGAACATTTGGGGGTTTTTCCAAGCTAAAACACTGGTGAAATTTTCACAAGTATCCTTCAGGAATCTGGGAATGGACATGACCTGTTACAGTGCAGTGATACAGCATATATTTTGTCACATAGCTGCAGAGCTCACTCACTATTAAGTAACCATGAAACTGCCTATGCCTCATCTCAGTGTTTGGGAACTACAGCCACTTCCCAGACACCTCCTCTAATACTCTAATACTCTAACAATAGGTCCTCTGTACCTACTCCTTTTTTTCCTAATGAGGGCCTCAGGTACATCTTTGTCAGGTGTGCAGGGAACTTACTGAGGAGATGTCTTTACTGAGGACATCTCAAATGTGTGTAAATCCTTGAAGAGAGGCTACAAAAATGATGGAGCCCAGCTCTTTTCAGTGGTGCCCAAGAAAAAGGGACAAGAGGCAATGGGCACAAACTGAAATACCAGAATTTTCCTCTGAACGTCAGGGAAAACATTTTACTTTGAGGATGAGCACTGGCACAGACTGCCCAGAGAGGGTGTGGAGTCTCCCTCCCTGAAAATAACCAAAAGCTGTCTGGACATGGTCCTAAGTAAGTGGCTATGCCTGGGTGGCCCTGCTTGAGCGATGAGGTTGGACCAGCTGACTTCCAGGGGTTCCTTTCAACCCTAACCCTTCTGTGATTCTGAAAGAAGCCCGTTGTCTGAGGGCAAGACTTTCTGGAAAAGACAGAAGCAGAACAAAGGGCAGGTCCTTTATCCCAGTAGAAGACTAGGATATGGCTCTCAGGAGTGTTGAGAAGAAGCTTAGTGAGCAGTCAGAAAGATTGTGGCTGAAGAAGCAGGAAATGAATGAACAATTTTACTTCAGAGAAAGCAAATCCTCACTGATGTTGTCCTTCCATGAACCTGAGTAACGAGTGCACTGATTTAAAATTTTTCCCTAAGGCGCAAGGCTCTCGGTTAGGATGTGAGATGATGAGAGGGTATCCCTTGATGTAAGTGCAAGCTCTCCTCTAGGGGATATGAGCTGGAGCTTCTGGAGTGGCAGAGAAGGATGCTGGCTGGTTGCTTCCTTGCGTGTAGGGGCAGGGACTCTACATGTGCTTGAAAGGAGAGCACTGTCAG